CTTGCAAAGTGCACAAGCGACGGGCGATGGCTCTGCTCGATCGATACCGCAGCCGACTGCATTCGACTGGGGGCGGGGCCAATCGCCCGTCGCTTGTGCACTTTGCAAGCGATCGCGCAATCGCTTGTCCGTCGCCGACTATGACGTCGGTCATAAGATAAAAGCTACTGGAAAAGAAACAGTGGTAAGATTGAGTAATGGAAAGCTGAAAAAGTGGCAATGAAAAAATGCAGGCAATGAAAAAATGCAAAAGAATAAATGATACCTGGTAAAGAAAAGTATTTTCGGCACGGATGAACTCTTCAACAAATTCTTTTGGAACGCTCAACTTTGACATGTTGAGGTAGGAGGGAATTCGAGGTAGTAACTGCAAAATTGTACTAAACGTAGAAATTACTTTGAGTACTCACAACTTTTTCTTTTACCTTACGGAGATCTGTTCTGGAGGTTTTCGAAAAGAAAGAAAGAGCTTTGTTAAGCCCTATACCCGGTAGTCCAGCCTAAAACATCCCATGAATTAACCACCTGTATTATAATACAACGTAAAAAAACAGCAACCTGAAGATAATCGCATCCAGATAAAATACAAATTCGTCGGAATTTTGTGAAGTCAAAACGCGAACCCATAACACCCGTGAAACATCGTGGCAACTGACTCTTCTCATAGATCAAGCAATCTCCTCGCTCACAATTCCATTTGAAAACTATCTGAAAACAATAGGCACTCAAGCACTACAAAATTCTAACAAAAAAGAAACATCCCCAGAGACCAACCACTGAAGAACATCAAGTCAGAATTAGAAATTAATATGAGTGTGCCCTGAGCTGAGAGTGGTGGGTGCACTACAGTGACTTGAAATCCGAAAACAGGGCACCGCTTTAAAATCTTTCTCGCCATGAATTTGGGAACTAACCTTTTCACAAGCGAAAGCAATGAGATCGGAATCTTCAGTTATTACCACATCAGCTAAATGTTCGTTCACCAGAAACGCCAACTGCGCGTCAGATTCGTAAGGCGAAACAATCACATCCACATTGGTGAAACTACGAAAATGCTGCAACAGACCCGCATAAAACTTCACCGTTTCAACTGTAGCACTATGTTACACACCTGAATGGCACTCTCTACCACGTCGGTAGTGATAGAGGTAGCTCGTTTGAACTTTACCATCGCCTCGTCAAGCTTTCCTTCTGCAAGGAGCAGTTCACCGGCCTTGACATTATCGGCACGTCGCTGTCTTCTGTCGTCATTTGTGTCCTGAAACGCAGTGCTATAGAATGAGCCAGACTTAAGGAGTGGCTTGGTAGTCGACTCATAGGTTTAGTTTGTAATGTCTCGACCATGGTTGCCATAAATTCATTCCTATAAGCTCTTTCATCTATTGCCTTACGTACGAATGTCCTAATGTATATTTGATGGCAAGTGCAATCAGAGGTTCGAATCTTCATGTGCAAAGACCTCAAATTATTACCAACGTAAATTATAGCCTCAGTCGCGTAATCAACTCAGAGAATCTGGTTCTCGTACTTTTCCCATCTATGCCCCTCTACCTTGGGCCGACGCACTTACAGATCCCGTGAGATCATGTTTCTCGAAACGAATAGCGCACTAGGGTACTGCCTCCTCGTCACTGAAAAATGAAAGATCATCGGGTGATTGCGATCGCCTTCGAAAAGAGTGGAAGGTCTCTTCACAGTCGCTTTGAAGGAACAGAAGTTTTGTTTATGTATTTTTGGAAACCAACGACACTGCATTCCAGAAAAAAACGCTTTTTCTTTAGTTTGGCCTGGTCTCCTGGTACTCTTTTTTCGTGAGATCGGAATAGGTTGAAGACACTTGCCCCCCACGGCCAAGAGAAAGACACTCAAAGCTCTGGTGCTCTTTCCTGATTACTACTCATTGTTGAATTTGATCAACATTTGAGCCTGCAAAAATCTATAGGGAAATTAAGCCATCCATGAAACGAGCATTGATGAAGCTCATTTTCAATTTTGGAGATCCACAGGCTTCGAATAAATAATGAGAGCTTTCTTCGTGTGTGGCATCAATCATCGGCGATGAGCTCAAAACTAGGAGCTGTAGAAAAACGTTACTTCAGTGATGAGCAGAACGCATACCTTTTTTGCAGGAAGGGGACGACCATCGAACACCATGATTACATGACAGCCGAGATCCAGCAACGCTTTAATGTGCTTCTCCACGTAATAGATGTAGCTGCAAGACATGTTCGAACATAGAACTCATAAATCAGCACCAAGTGAAAACCGACATTTCGGTGTTACTGCCCATTTGCGTCCAACGATCTACGGAATCAGGTATGTTCGTGCAATGAGCAGCTCAGAAAAACAAGCTAGCATTTAGAATTGCACCAAAGAGTACGACTATTCCATGTCTTTTGTGTAGATGACCATCTACTATGAGAAGGCAATGTGAAGACATAGAATGGCTCGATTAAATCAGCCTCGCAACCCAGAAGAAGAGTAGCATATTGCACGGTGCTGTATTGTACTCCAATGCTGAGTGTAACGACTGTATTCGATTTCAAAGTGCCTTCCAGGAGTACACCTACACAACCAAACCTTCTTAACTCGCCGTTAACTCATGTTCCATAGTCAACAAAGGAGGAACAGTGAAGGTGAGGTGAGTGGAAACATCCAGGGCAAGGCCATACTTAACGTTTCGTATGATTAGGGACCATGAGATAACGAAAGCAGCATTTAGCGATAGGGATGAAAGCATAGAAAGTCTGGAGAGTAGAATATCGTAGCTGACAGTTGAAAATACAACCTCCTTCTGTTGATCTCTCAATAAGTATTGCAATTAAGAGTATTTATACTTCCTAACCTGTGCAGCTGGATCTCCTAATGCCTAACATCCCAATCTCCTATCCTCTAGCCTTCTCAAATGCCGTTGAGCATAAACGTGTCATCAGGCCGTTTACCTCGCGATCTCAGACCCTAAGATTGCGCATAGCGCAATCACGCAATTGTTGTTAGTTACTATCTAGCAATAATCTCCTCATCTCGAGAAACGCCTAGTATGAACACGGCCCTGAGGTGATAGATCTTTAAATATTATTACTCAGTGGTGGCGCAACGCCTCTTTTGTCGTTGAATGAGTAATGACTAACAAACTTGTTTTCTTTCCCTGAGCCACACTTTCTACGCAACCGAAAAGGCCTTTATGTAACAAACAGCTGACATCGACGGCCACCTGAACAACCTGAGAATTCTGCCACATTACCCTAAAATAAACTCATAACGAACATTCATGTGGCTATCTTTTATCGAACAGAAGAGTATGCAAACCTGCCGACAAGCATTCTTTACGAATGGCAGAAGATTGTGGATACCCATGCCTTTGATTCCATCCGGGATGCACCTTTCTTTCTGAACTAACAGTGAGAAAGGAGGTCCTGAAACGGGTCTAGATTTTAAACAGCATCCGAATTGCCTTTTATAAACTTCACTTCGGACAGCAATTGTTCCTTGTGAAGTTGCAAAGCAGGAAATGCGAACCACACAAATGAACATGAGCAGGGAGAATAAACAAAAGGTCACAATCACCGAGTAACAGAATCGATACAACCTCAACAGAAGAACTTGACACGGCCTTTGGAATGGGAATTTTTTAGTGGAGAGGCCAACGTTTTCAGTCAAGATTATCATTTTGGAATAAAAGATGCGCAGCGATCACCCACAATAAATTGCCATGTTTTTGATTTTGAAATATATTACAGGTCGGGCCGCGCGAAACACGTAATTCACGCCTAATTTTATGCCGAATTTTATCTCGCGACCACCTTTGGCAGTGATAAGTCGGAAAACTCGCTTTCTGCCCCTGTAATCCATGGGCTTGTTTCACTAGGACAGAGAGCGACTTTTCCGCGTTCCGCAGCGCGAAACACTTTTCG